AAAAAAAAAAAAAAACCAAAAGAGAGAGAGAGAGAGCCCATAATCTTACTCAGTAACTGTAACTACTAACTTCCTCATCGGTCTTAGAATGCGAGGAACCGTAAACGAAGCCAACAAACCAGAGCAATGATTGACGACCTAAAAACTTGGCAACTCGGCAGCCCATCTGGAGCCCGCCTGGCGCCCGCTAATGTTTCACCTTGGACCAAATCCCCCCAACTGGAAAGCGGAGATTGAGTGATCGAGACGAGACGCCTGTCCACTTTTGCCCCCCCGGCGAGATTGTCTCAGCACACGGGCGTGGAAATGAGTTGATCACTTTCTGCCTTTCGTTGTTTCCCCTTGGTTGCTTTGACGATGATGGAGACCATGATGGGGACGACGATGGGGTCGAGTCTAGAACTTTAGAACCTGGCAAAGAAGAAAGAGCGAAGTGAGAAGGGGGAAAAACGCCAGTGCCTAGTTATGGAGTCAGCGTCCCGTTTGTTCGGTCCGGCCGGTGAATCGTGCCATCCATGCCCCCCCTCATCCTCCTCCCCGAAGTCGGGGTCGGTCATCTCACCCGTGGTTCCAGGCTCACTGACACTCTTACCCATCTTTCGACTCGGCTCTGGATGCCAGAGAGACGTCCCGAAATGTTGGTCCAGATGACATGAAAGAGTATGGAAAGTTGTCAGAATTTTTCTCCGACAGCACTTCTGTGCACACGACCCATGGAACGTTCTAAACATTTTGACTGATGCCCTAAAACCACTTGCGAGTGGCATGGCCCTTGAAACATCAGGGCGCATCCGCCAACATTGTAGGTTTGTGTACCGGCACTGCCACCAGGTTATGGCGCACACGTGTGTGTCAGGGGATGCTTCAGAATTCCGCCTGCTGGGCAACAAGGTTCAGTGCAGTGGATGTCGAACCCTGAACCGGTCGGTTGTGTTACTTCAAAATATGTCATCATCGACCGGACAGTTTGGCGTCGCGTTCTGTCTGGCGCGACATGTCGAGTATCACTTTCGACGCAGGGAAACGGCAGAGTGCATCGAGCGTCAATCCAGCCGATCGCATAATGGTGACAGCTTCTTGGCTTATCCAGTATCTAGATGACAGGATGGTCCAAGAGGATTGACATCTTGGCCCACGGCACCTCGAAAGTGTAAGTCTTTGGGAAACCTTTCTTGGCCCGTTTTAGGCGACAGGCTCTGCCGTGAGGCATGCCCATTCAATCCCTATGCACATTCGTGATGATTTGTATCTGAGTGAACTTAACTCACCAATCATCCTCTGGGGTCTGGTGTTGGGTGTGGTATCTTACCTACGTCGAAAGTTGACCTTCTCCCCTGCTCCTGTATAGGCCAAGGAATCCACGTCCCTCGCGCTGCTTGGGGCTCTAGGTCTTTTGGTGGTTCTCCGATTCCATGCGGTCTCACAGACTGGTTATGCACTCACTTGACATGTCGAGAGGGATAGGTTTCGGTTTGATGGTGATATAGCCGCATTGGACGTGGACGGAGATTATGATCGCCGTCCGCATCCAATGCCTCCTCTATACTCACACCGGTCTCGACCTTCATGGAGACCTAGACCGCCATCATCTGCGAAGGTCTCGCGCACATCCAACGATGTCTGACACTCTGAGTCAATTGACAGTGACCCTCACATCTGGCCCGGCCCTTGCTTCCGCCGAGGGGGTTTACTTCTGCAGCAACAACACCACCATCGTTGGCGGGGAGATTATCCCCCTCTGTTTTCCTTTGGGGTCAATATCAACCCGCTCCTGGTCTAGGCTCCCCGGCGTATAGTAACTTACCTTATCCTTCACCATTCGGTGATATCAAGGCTGCAGGCTTTTCGATCTTGGGGTTCCGCCCATATTTCGAGAAAGTCTTGGCTTGTAGGGAATAGAGTGGCATCGGCCGAGCTAGTGACTGTTAGCGACCAGCTGCAGTATTTACTGGGCCGGTAGGCGGGAGGCACCTTGGGTGATCGATGGCCGTCTCAGATCTGACTGGGGGGTGGACGATGAGATCTATCTACCGTACTCCGTACATTGTGGATGTTGCAGCCTTGCAGGGTTGGCTGCAGTCCATTGCGGGGTTGCGATTGCAGACAACCCGGTATGAACAATACCTATCTCATGATAGTCGATGAGATATCGCGATATATTATAGGCAACTCGGTGGGCTGAGTGTGTTTCAACAGCAAATTTAACCAGTCTACCTGTGGTAGACGACCGGGGACTGTCCCGACTCGGTTGCATATATATTGCAGGCCACCATACATCTCGATGCCCTTTCATCACCAAGCATGCTCCGAAGACAAAGAACACACAATACCCAAAGCCAAGTATATCAACTTACGTACACAAATAAACTAGGAATATAGACGAACAAAACCAGAACCCACCCAAAATCCCACAAGATAGCACCCAAACCATCACCCCCTATCCCCTCCCAGACTCGCCTTTTTGTCATCCAGATAATATTTTATGCAAGTCGCCACTCATACCAACTGAAGCATTTGTGGCTCAGTGGTAGAGCGTCGCACTCGTAATGCGAAGGCCGTGGGTTCGATCCCCATCAGATGCAACCCTTCAGTTTCTTGTTTTTGTCCTTGC